GGTTTTGGCGTCTACCCTAATCCCAAAGCCTAAAACCTAAACGCTAAACCCTAATCCCTAATCCCCAAACCCTACATAATCCCTAATCCCCAAACCCTAAACCCTAATCCCCAAACCTTAAACCCTAATCCCCAATCCCTAATCCCTAAACCCTAAACTTCAAACCCTAAACCCTTAAACCCTTAAACTCTTAAACCCTTGAACCCCTTAAACCCTTAAACCCTAAAACCGTAAAACCCTAAAACCCTACAACCCTAAAACCTTGAAGCCCTAAACCCTAAACCCTAACCCCTAACCCCTTAACCCCTAAGCCCCTAAGCCCCTAAACCCCTAAACTCCTAAATCCCAAACCCTAAACCCTAAAGGTCGGAGCGGTCTGCATTGGCGGCCGACGAGAAGAAGAGTTGCGAACCTGGTGACTTGGGGTGCCATAAGGGCTTCTGGGGTTTAGGGTTTGGGGTTTAGGGTTTTACAAGGTTTCGGGCGGTTAAACCTTAAACCCTTGTAGGCTGAGGGTTTGCGGTTTGGGGTTTGGTGTCTCGGGTTTGGGGTAGCCTGTTGCAGGGCCTCGAAGTTTCGAAAAGACCTTGATTCTGGGGTCACTACTTATTTTGGCTTTTTGTTCAAGGAAGGTGTAGGTAGGTGTGTGTGTGTGTTGAAGAATTTTTGACAGCGCCGCATGAACGGTAGCTGGGGTGCATTTCGTCGAACCACTGCGGCCCTACGTGCTCCATGTGAGGGCACGTCGAAGGTCCGCTCCAACTGCATCAGCCTCCTGTACCTGAGAAGCCTCGGTGCCATGCCTGGTTATACATGCACTACCCAATGGTCAGCACATACCATCGATTCAATCGACCCCAATCCACTCTAAACCGTCTTAAACTGTAATTTCCGTGGCTGGAGTGGCCGTTCTGATCGATCCAAGCCACATGCTGGACGAGAGCTCCAGTGCTGCTGAGACGTTTTGCTGCACCAAAGTCCTCGAGTTTTCTCCGGGATAGCAGCTCTCCAAGCAACATATTATCACCAGTGTGGAATGTCGGGATTCCTTCCGACCTCAGGAAGCGTCCGATACATCAAACACTTAAGGTATGATACGGTAGTAGCTCGTATGGCTGAGGGGTGTGGGGTCGTGGCAACAGTTCGAGGACCCAAACCTCCTAGCACTCTGCGCATGTCGGGTTCCCGGGGGAGCTGCAACCTCAGGGGGTCTGTGTGGATGGGAGGGGTCTCCCACGCAGATAAGATAATAGACGGTTGGGGAAAGCACAGTTTGCAGTGGCCCCATCAGGCTAGCACCTTCGCGTCTTGCGTCAGCTCGGTGGCCCTGGCCAGGGAGTAGGTGTCCTTCAAGACCAAGCGACATTCATCTATACCCAGTTTCCTCCTCCGCAAAAGGCTGTTTCCTACCTCAGAAACTGCACGGCTCAGCCCCCTTTGAAAAGAGGTAAAAAGGGGACCAGTAGGAGGTGGCACACTGGGGAACACCATGGCACGCCTAACTCAAGGGGCCCACCCCAGTCGCGCTCGTATGTCCAAGTCCATGACCCCTCCAGCCGATGACACGCACCAAACCCGAGAAGCGGACGAAAATGACTAATCTAAACAGGGCTCAGGAACAGTGAGTTAGGGCATGCTTCTCATGCAGTCGGGTTATGATATGGAGGTCGGGGCGAATCAACCCCAAGATGATGTGCCCCCAATCCCCCCAAACCATCAAGCCCGCCCCACTCGTCCTCCAGGAGGGCCAAGCGCCGGCCCTCCGGGACCTGCACAAGCATTTGTCAACCATCTTTCTATGGGATCATCAAAGCCGGTGAATGCCAAGTTGCCAAGTTACCAGAAATTCTCAACACTCGCACCACCTCTTGTCACTGGGGTAGCAGGATCACCCGCTCACAACAGCTCTGTGATTCCTCTCTGTAGATGGCACACACACAGAGAGACCATGCGGGGGAAAGAGAGAGAGGTGCTGCTGGGTGTGCTGCTGCCCCGCCCGCGCCCCGGGGGAAGAACCGCTCCCTCGAGCCTGCTTCAGGAAGTCTCGGAGGCCCGGGGCGTGGCCGGAAATCTCTGCCTCCTTCAGAGAAAAGTGTAGGGGAGTTCCTTCCAAAACTTTGATCTATTGCTCCCGTCTTTATGCCGGGATAGCAGTCAGGAGCAGAGGGCATTGCGTTTGATGTATGCTTGAAGGCATCATGAGACAACGGTGCGCGCTCGAGGCCCTGCGTCCCTCCCTGCAAAACTTGTCCAAAGAGTCTGAGCATGACAATGTCTTGGACCAGGCAGCTCTGCATGAGCCCAGCGCTCAGCTCGCCCATCGTCATAGCCAGGGTTGGCATGGAAGTCAAATCGCTCATGGCTGCCGATTGAGGAAGTTTTACAAACGTGGATCCCCCATGCCTTCACGCTCCATGCGGACGCTCCAAGCTTATGATTCTGGGTTTGGGGACGGCTCACGTCTTTAGGGTGTCCGCAAGGCCAGCAAGGCCTGCAGAGGTTTTGAGTCACTGCATTTTGCCAGCGAAGAAAGAAGCCAAAGATGCGGAAGCACCACAGTGGAATGGCTCTACCCTTCGATAATTTGTTGCGATGCCCCTACATCCCTTAAGCACGAAAACCGCTGCAGCGAAGCTGTGGAGGCACTCGGAAAATCGAAAGCAAGAATCATTGCAATGGTTGATTAAAGATGATGACTTATTCTCTGGTATGATTAATGCTATTGTTAGTGATTAGTAAATAATATGATCAACATTGATCTACCGTGCTATTGTTTAACAGGAATAATGATTAACAATTAATAAAGATAAGATATTATGAATGAATTCGGTTGATAATTGTTAATGATGGCACCAGGAGGAACCAAGCACCTGCTAGGCTACTAGGCTTCATTGATGCCTTCATAGTTTCCTAGGTGGTCAGTGGAAGTCGAGACAATCCCGGCATGGTTCCCCACTGCACTGTTGTCAAGTTTGATGTCGAAGCAGTGGAATGAGAGCACAACATGTCAGGCAACATAAATCTCTTGATAACCCACTTGTGCTCAAACATGCCTTGTTTGGTGTGAACAAATCGGTTGCCTGACCTTCACAATGATGCAAAGGCACTCCAAGCAAAGGTGTAGCAACTCCTAGAGCGTTGCCAAGAGAACCAATGAGGCCGAAGATCGCTCAAGCAAACATTCAAAAGACTTGACACTGCTATTGTCATTGCAAAATCCCAAGGCTGATGGGAATCCACCAAGAATTCTGAAGGTTCAACTGTTCCAGCTTTATTCTTTTTCCCTTCTCATCCAGAGCTGCAGTCAATGCGTCATTCATTGCAATCAGCTGCAATGAATGAACAATGAAGAGAAACTTCAGCTTTTCAATGTCTGGGAAACCATCAAGACTTGTGTCGGTGCTCTCCCCAGATTGAGTTGCAATGCAAAAGTCATTCTTCTGGAACTTGTTCCTTTGGTTCAGGCTTTGAAACACGCACCTTCCTGAATCTTGACAGACATGACGACATCAGCCGATGAATGAAGAATGCTGGGAAACTTT